TTTTGCAACGACACAGATCGTCATCGGAGCCTTCGACGCTTGCGTTTCCGCCAATCAAGAACGGACCGTACCCAAACTACACGAGTCATTCTTGGGGAGCTTCACCGAACTATAGTAAAGGTATAACTCCGTCGAACATTAAGTAATATAAATAAATGAAAGCTTTACTTACCAAGCAAGACTACTGTTAAAGAAATTCATATAAATGATGATGTCATGCGCACGCAACAACGAACTGTTATTTAGTTCGACACTTCCTTTAAAATAGTTTGATGACGTAATTCGAACGCTACGCGGAGCTGCGAGCTATTTACAGAATCCATTTAGTTCAAAGGAGTAGTTTTTGTTTATTTTATTGGTAGTTAATATATATTTTTTGTAATTTAGAAAATACTAGCAGTCATTCTACGCCTATACGTTCATTAATACCTAGTGGAAGTCCTAACCGCACCACGTTGAGCAAGTCCTCACCAGCCAAACTGTAAGTAATTACGAAGTGTCAAATTGTGTGCAGTAAAAACGTCTTTGCAARATGACATATCGCGAGAACAAAAACGCTTTAAATAGAACATCGAGCTAAGATCAAACTCAGCAGTTTTGTGAGCGCGTAATGCGTGAAACTTGAGTAGCTATACAAAGTCCTTGCATTAACGTATATCGCATAATTGTATAGACGATTGGCAGAGGGGAAAAATGACGGCAAATCCTAAAAATATTGTGTCGACAATCTGCACAAACGTGAATTTGAACTTTGGCTTTCAAAGAGAGACAAAATTACCAATTATTTTTTCTGTGTATCAGTCACCTAAATTAAAATCGAAATTGTGCGGTAGAGCAATTCAAAATTCAATTTTGTACAATGTTTCTCATCTTCTCCATTGTCTTGTTTCAGTCGTAGACTTCCTTTAGCGCCGGAAAAGCATCAAAGCGGATACGCCCAAATATTTGCCAAAAACAGAGAAAAGAAATCAAAGGGCACTAAACACAATATTGCTAAGCAACCAAGTAACCAACCAGTCAAGGCTCTTAATGCGCATGCTCAAACTACTACAAGTAAATACAACCCTAAACATTATGAATATGAACAATCTTACTCCAGTCGTACTCACTATCAAGCGGTCCATAATCAACAGCAACCGGGCTATAATCAACATCAGCCGGTCCATAATACACATCAGCCGGTCCATACTGCTGTGCAGCATGGCTATAATGGTAATGCTCCGACTTACAGCAACAACTTTAGACAGTATTCCGGTTCTGGACACGAAAATCAAMGAATAGAACAAGACTTATCAAATATTGACTCTCAAATTCAATACTATCAGAATTACCAGGGAAAACCTCATAGATGACCTATGTTGACGGCTAGAAGTCAAACAAGAAATTCAGTAGATCAAACTATCTAATATTATCCAAAGTTTGGACGATTCTAAACATTGTTGTATCAACACGGTCATAGGTACCCAGAAATCAGAAAGGCTGTCAGAGTGGTTTGTGCTCAATGTTAGACAAATACATGGCACTATTACAATCGGATTTCAGTCACTGATGTGCGCGAACTCGGAAAAACACCTAAAATGAGTCGTACACTGATACCATAGCTTGCCCACGCCTTGAAGGATTTTCCAATTACAGCTCATTCCTTATCCAGACCCACATGTCCAAGAATTTGTTTGCTCTGAGAAAATGTGCTTGTGTGGTGTCCCAAAGCCTGAAATGAGGAGTGAAAAGTGGTCTGGGCACTACTAGAATGACGTTTTTATTAAAATATTCAAAAACTGCGATAAACAAATATAAGAAATAATTATTGTATTGCCTGGAACGGATCTGGAAAAAGAAATGGATCTTACATGTACATAAACTTATATTATCGAAGAATTAATATTAAATCATCATTCACTACTCGTCTACATTTGTGCTGTTCAGATTCAGTGCATCCCTGCACAAAAGGGAGTATGAGTACAATAGATACCAGGTAGCCTGATTTTCAGACGGGGCCTGGGTCCTACGCTTCTCTCCGCGAAGCATAGGACCCAGGCCCCGTCTGAAAATCAGGCTAGATACCAGGCTCCTGTGAAGATTGAACAGGATTCTATGGTCGGCTTCATACCTATGCCCCGCCCCAAACGTTTTGGAAAAAAAATTTTTGCTTAGGAATAACTAGCAAAGCATATACTGATGACGTGGAACAGGCATATTTCATAATATAATTAGTGAATAAATATAAACCAGCTTGAGGCTTCCTTCCAACAGACC